TGAAACAGGCATTCTGAAACCTGGCCTAGTTGTGACATTTGCCCCCGTGAATGTGACCACTGAGGTGAAATCTGTGGAGATGCATCATGAGGCTCTATCTGAAGCTCTTCCAGGTGATAATGTGGGATTTAATGTGAAGAATGTCTCAGTCAAAGATATCCGACGTGGGAATGTTGCGGGTGACAGCAAGAACGATCCCCCACAGGAGGCAGCAAGTTTCACCGCACAGGTAAAGGTCTAAATTTGGTGTTTTATAGTGTTGTAAAGCCTTCTGACACAATTCATGATCTAGTATTTATATTATCTGAATATTCCTGTTATAGTTTCACTGAAAACAAAAAAGGTAATCTAAAAATGGTAACATCTAAATTAACTGGTTTATACTTACAATCTATATAGTCAAAATTATGTAACATCACTGAATCAAAATAAGTACATTATTTTATACCGATACAACTCATTTCTATGGGTTAAATCAGGAAGAAATAACTCTTTAGGAAAATGATTGCAATGTTATTACTTTTTACAAACAAGATATCCTTTTAGATTTTACTGTGTTTGACATTACAAATTATTCACTGATCCGCTCTCTGCTCTGGTCAGGTGATCATTCTAAACCATCCAGGTCAGATCAGTGCTGGTTATGCCCCCGTGTTGGACTGCCACACTGCTCACATTGCCTGTAAGTTTGCCGAGTTAAAGGAGAAGATTGACCGTCGCTCTGGGAAGAAGCTGGAAGACAATCCCAAGTCCCTGAAGTCTGGGGATGCTGCTATTGTAGATATGATACCAGGCAAACCCATGTGTGTGGAGAGTTTCTCTGAGTATCCTCCTCTTGGTAAGGGTCATATCTTAATTTGGATTTAAAGTAATGGATTCCTTTAGTATCTTTAATATAAAATGCTTGACTTTATTACCAAATTCACTCCTACTGTAAACATGCCTTTTTTTCAAGTGCTTTTTACAAGAATGTTTCACCATGTTTCAGTGCAATGAACTTTCTGTGGTGGGCATAATATAATTAATAATATTTGCTTGATGGGATAGTTCACCCAAAAATGACAATTCTGTCATTAATTACTCAC